ATAGGCATCTTATAGAGGGGTGTTACGAGCCCTGATTCTGTGTGGCATCTCATTGGATTTGTGTATATTCTGAGTTGCATATGATCCCCGCTCTGAGTCCCTGTACATCCTTATACTGAAACCAGCTAGAAGGATATAGCTATAGCAGTCACACGCCATATACACGCCCAGCTACCCAAATACACATCGTGACAAGGGGAAGGGAGTTTTTAAAATACTGTTGGATTGACCCTCGGGTGACGGAATAAGGGCCGGATAGGCACAATCCTCTGATTCAATACCCTGATCTTAGTCATAGAGGGGGGTGAGATTGACAGGAAAAACCCCTCACACAAAAGAGGGGGCCGGAAGCAAGGAAGAAGATCATCAATCAATACAATCATCTTTGGTCTCCATCGTCTTGATCATTATTGCCCTAATTGACTTGGCCGTACCGGATCCATCAATTAACAGTCAGATTCGCGCTCGCACAAATCCTGTAAAGAACCTGGGTTCGATTCCCAGCAGCACAGACCATCTCTATTACCTCCTAGATTAAATTCTAGCTAGTTGAATGGAAATTCTCAACGAAGCAAAATAGGGGTAGGGCTCAGCTTAGAAGATGAAAAAATCATCTTCAAGCTGTGGGGGTGTGTTGGATTATGGACCTAATTAGCACTGGCTACAGTAATACTTAGGGTACCTTATACTTTTGGCTTAGCTGGTTAATCCAACAGTAACCAGTACTCCCGGAGATACCGACTCCGTGGACTTGGAAATCCCCCAACACGGCAGTACGTATTTGCCCCAATTCGCGCTCCGAAATTCCGGATTTGCCGACCTAGCAATCCGACTGGCCAGGCGCTGGATCGGTACCCTTCAAGATTATCTATATGAAACTTTCGAATGACGAAGCCAACCATAGCCGGCATTATGTCGCGGACTTTGAGTCTTGGCAGGATATGGTAACCTAGCCATGTCGCACGATACTCAGTACGTCAAGTGGCCAAGGAGGACAAAATCGTAACGGGATATACAGATGCCAGAGGGTCATGAGCGCATGCTGCTGTTGGGCAACGGATAGAAACTGGTGATGATAGGATGAATATCAACAACAGCAAATGAAAGCCACCATTTCCAAACTGATTGTGAGAACCACAAGACTCCTTGGTGTCAACAGACTCTACTGATATTATTCCGAATCTATTGAACCTCGATTGAACCTCGATTGATGCTAGTAACATGAAACACGTGTGCTAGCATCCACCTCCTTTTCACTCAACCGCCGGCGTTCCATGGAGGCTAGCGGCAAAACGTCCAATCTTGTCTTTCAATTCCCCACAAAGCAAGATGTTTTTGTACGCAGGTTTCGAGCTCTCCGATTTCTCAACACTGCCACCATTTGGACCAAAAACCATGATCTTAGCCGATCCATCCAGTTTCTGATCGTATACGCTCCAAGGCTGGCCTCCATTTACAAATAATAACCAATATGATGCTATCGTCTCAGCAAGCGCTGCGAGATTGTCGGGCAAGTGACTTTGATATGTAAGGAAGACGTAAATCAAGTCTACCGCGTGATGAGCTTTTCCTGTGAGTCAAGCCGTCAGCGTAAATTGATCTGGACTGGAAATTGGACACATTGTGACCTACCCTTGTGAGCGCCATCAAATGGATTTCCCTCAGTCAGATGGTAGTAAAACACGTCGCCATTTGAAAAGGACTTTGCAACCTCGCGCATTGGCTGTGACCATTCGGCGTCCGATAATAGCTTAATTAGAGAAGCAAACAACTCCTCGTAAGACGAATCGGCCGATATTCCATATGCTTGAAGAACGGCTTGTGCATCCTGCTCACCGAGAACTTTTGTAGCCAGACTTTGTACTTTGTCGAATGTCCACTCGTGTTTGGATAGTGGCATGGAAAAGATCAAGCCTTCAGCTGCACAATCACCGATGAGCAATCGTTTAAGGCTGGGGTGGTATTGCTGCTGGGACAGGCTGGAGACAGAGCAATTTGTAGCAAGGAAATAGTCGTCCACTGTCGCCTGCCACGCCGGGACCGGGCCACTTCCGAGCGCGATGTATGACAAGACAAGGTCGTCTGCAGAGATGTCGCGGAGGGCCTTTAAATTTTCAGAAGATTTGTCTGTGTCGATCTTGAGATGAGCTAGCAACTTCTCGTATACACCTTGTTGATGTTTTGCCGTGCGAACGGTGAGAGACCCAACGCCAGATTGCAAGATGACTTGGTTGAATGGAAGGGCCGACTTGAAGAGTTCGGAGCACAAGGTGATATGCGTGTCAACTATTTCAGTATAGCATTAGTGTCGACTCATTCGAGAATGCAAGACGAAACCTACTGGATCCTGCGCTTTCTCCCATTCCAGTAACGCGATTCGGATCACCTCCAAATGCTTTAATATTTCGCTTGACCCACTCATACGCCAAAAGTTGATCTCGAATTCCGTAGTTACCATGTCCTTGATCTCCGGCGGCTTCGTTATCCTCTTTGATTGCATCAGAAGCTAGAAATCCGAATGCCCCTAGCCGATAGCTAAGTGGTTGAAAATCAATTTCAATCTTGCGAAGATTGGCCGAAAGTCGGGCACGACTTACTTGACGGTCACTACAACGACTGGTAGTTTCCTCTCAACAGAGAAATGAACGAGCGGGGCGCCATCTGATTTCAATAAGCATGGAGTTTCTTAATGTGCTTCCCGAGTGGTTGTCGAACTAACCATATCCTGGATCTGCCGCCGTTCCAACGCAATTTCCACCGCTTTGTAGACTCGTCAGTGAAGCTCGAATGGTCAGGGTGAAACATTATGATGCACGTACCCATGAATCCACACCACCACAGGCAGGCCGTTTGGTGGAGTGCTGCCTCCGGCGGGGCATGTAACATTCAGATTCAAACAACGGAATTCGTCAAATTCATAGGCATGCTGAGGGGGCAGGTGCTTCTGCGTGATAGGGTGCCCAATAGCCATCTTGGGAAATGGGCAGAGTGGCCTGGCACATGCATTAGCTTCCGTGGAGTCTCTGGAGTTCAAACACATACCCGTATTTTGTCCCGTCCCACTTGCCGTCTGGCCATGATGTTACGAGTTTTGCCTGTCGAAATCTGGCCGGAATTGAGCCATATGGAATTCCACGATATTGCTCGACGTTTCCGAACTCAGCAGGCACTAGTCCTTGCACAGATCCGAGTCCAGGAACCTGACGAATCATATTGGAAGTGAGCGTTGAATAAGAACGACCTATGTCTGGTCGCGAAAATGAATAATCTGGAAAGGCGATATTGAATGTGTTTTTCTAGGACTGAGATTCTCATCAAGTTCATGGATTTGTGAAGATTAAATACCCGTTCCCGAGGTTGGCATGCCAACGGGTAATGGGTGCGGTGCATCTTAACAGCGCTATTGCCGTGTGTTGGACGTGTTGCGGGGTCGGAATTTCACTCCGCAAATTCGGCCTTAGCTAGGCACCCGGCTAAACAACTAAATGAGGGGGTCGAAGCTTATATGAGACTGATCGACGAGACGCGTCGAATCAACCCAAACTTGGTGCGCCTGGGAAACAGAGTTTGTAAATTTTTCAATGGCTTCAATGCAACTCCTTATTTCTCGGCTCCTAATGGCGCCATCATTCGGACTCTCAGTGGTCATCTTGTTCGCCCTTGGGACCTTGACGCTTTTCATTTCCAAGATTCGGTACAATCATAAGTACAGATATCCAAACGTCGTTCCTGGATGGCCACTCATCGGGAACACGCTTGACTTGCCCTATCCGGCTGGAATGTTCACCCGCGAGCTGACCAAGAAGTATGGGGAAATGTGAGAACGTTCTACATTCTGCTCTCTAAGGACTTACCGTTGACGTGTTGTTCAGGTTCACTCTAAACATCGGAGGGAGGAAACTCGTCTATTTGAATTCATCCCGCACCGTTACGGATCTCCTCGAAAAACGCTCCGCCATCTACTCGTCGCGGCCATTCCGCCCCATGCTCAGCGAGATTATGTCTGGAGGCTTCCGCATCGTCTTAATGGGATATACAGCTCAATGGCGCAACCAACGGAAAATAATGCATTCAATCTTAAATGGACGACAAGCAGATACAAAGTTTGTTCCGTTCCAGAACCTGGAGGCAAAGCAACTTGTATACGAGATTCTTAAAGAGCCTGAGAATTTCCACAAAGCCAGCCAGCGTTTCTCGAATTCGGTTATTTTAAGTGTTATTTTCGGCCGGAGAGCACGAAATAATGACGAGCTTCTAGATTTCATTCTAGGATACACAAGCGTGCTTGGAGATTATCAGTTCAATCCTCTCAGAAGCCCAGCTGATGTGTTCCCATGGCTTTCTAAGTTGCCAAAGCCTCTGCAGTGGTGGAGGCCATTTGGAGAAGCCTTCTTCCGCAAACATGTAGAGTAAGTAATCAATTCCTGGTCGGCCTATTAAGATCGAACTACCTAAGCTGACACCCAACAGAATGTTCCAAAAGGAGTACGAGTTGCTCCTCGATAGGATGGCTAAAGGCACGGCAAAACCCTGCTTTGCAGTCGATGTGCTCCAGGGAGCGGCAAAGAAAGAATTTGAAGTCGACGAGACCGAGAAGATATACATATGGACAACACTGATTGAAGCCGGCAGCGATACGTCTCGCGTTGCTATTCTCCAGATGATTGCCGGGGCAGCTTGCTATCCCGAATGGGCGACGAAAGCCAGAGCTCTCCTCGATGAGGTATGCGGTGCTAACGCTGAGCGTCTACCTACTCTCGCAGACAGGTCGAGATTGCCATATATTACTGCTGTGATGAAGGAAACACTTCGCTGGAGACCGTTCTTGCAATCTGGAGTGCCACACGTTCTTACGCAGGATGATGAGTACGAGGGCTATAGATTCCCCGCCGGTACCGAATTCAGCTGGAATGCTTACTCTATTGCCCTGGATGAGAAAGAATATGACAATCCGATCAAGTTTTGCCCTGAGAGATTTATGAATGGGAATCTGGAAAAGTTTGCTCACGGCCATTGGAGTTTTGGGGCTGGTACGAACTGAAATCACGCTCTTGACATTATGAAGTACAGCTGACATGAATAGGTCGACGAGTATGCCCTGGACTAAATGTCGGTGCATTCAACGTGTGGATCGCAGCTGCTTGCATACTTTACTGTTTTGATATTGCAGAGGATCCAGTAGGTTTTGTTATACACGAGCGATTGTCCTTATACTGACTGGCAAAGAATTCTCCCATCGATACATTCAATACTCTCTGGGAAGATCCCACAAAGGCACCCTTCAGAGTGAAGATAACTCCCCGTAGCAAGGCACATATTCAATTGATAGAGAAGGAGGGAGCAATTGCTCTTGCGACTGAATATTGACACCATGGCGGACTTTTCCCCGTTGTTCGAGTAGCACTGGCTATGTTATGAGAATACCGCAGATAGCAATACAACGTCTGCGCGAAGCACATTCCCAGACCTCAACCTCAGTTCTAACACACATTTGGCACAGCGGTGACGTGTTTTGCAACTCCAAATTCTAGAGCATCATAAATTGAGTAGGTTGGATGCGGTGAGTTGAGCGAGAAATACTTGCCGCCCACGATGCTGCGGCGCTGGCCGGAAGTGCCCTCCGTATCAACTTTTATCACGACTACGCGCTCTGGGCCCGACAACAGCACAGTAGGATGGGATTGCGGGTAAGTTACGGATGATGCAGAAACTAGGTGGACATTGCTCTCGCAAGGGGTTTCAAAACCTCATTGGACTCGCAAGTCCCTCCTTCATGCGTAACGCGCGGAATCACGGCTTCCCGGACCTCTTCCTCACCCGACACCTGAAATCCGTCTGCTTTACAAACCACACGTTTTCCGTCCTACAAGGCCGTCCCGGATACTCGAGCTCGAAATCATAGTCTCGAACAAGTACTGGGATGACTTTGTACATCTCAAGTAAACTGATATTCTTTCCAAGGCATGTACGTGGGCCCGAACCAAACTAACGACATGTTAATTGTTGATTTCCCAGGAAAGTTATCTTAAGAGCAATGAGACGTACCGTCAGGAAGTAAGCTTCACGTCTCTTGACTGCTTCTGCGTCCTCAAGCCAGCGCTCGGGACGGAACACCTCAGCATCCTCTCCGTATACGTTCTTGTTCCTGCCCGCAACCCACGCATTGATCCCGACTGTGGTCTGGAGTCATGATTAGAATATATTTGGGTGTATGACAGTAACAAACAGGAACTTACTCCAGCCGGGAAAAAGCGCCCTGCAATCGTGGCTCCCCCGTCAGGCACGACTCGCCCCAGGATCAAACCAGTTGCTGGATGTATCCGCAATGCCTCCTTTATCACTGCCTGCAGATATGGCATATTCTGCGCCTGCTTGAAAGTAATCGGATCAGTGATATCTCCCCGCCTAACAGCGTTCTCCAGCTCATTCCGCAGCTTCGCAAGGACATCCGGAAACTTGCACAGATGGAAAATAACAGACGTGAGACTTATCGACGTGG